CAGAACTCGTGTTGCAGATTTATTCTCTGCTGTAAAACAGAGTGGTTACATTTTGAATAAGGCAACATTTTCACCATCAGATCATCTAGTGTTAAATGATGGTGTTGTATGGGATCTTAGGTGCACTGGATTACTGTCGAATAATTTCTGCAGTTCACTACAATATCCTGGTGCATCTTCTCGGCCTATACATAAATTTGATAAATTTCAAGATATTGTATCAGGTGTTTTCCATCCGAACGGTCTTGAAATTATCATCGGCTCAGCTGTATGGGATTTAAGAACATGGAGATTATTGCACACTATTCAGCCACTTGATCGACTTGAAGTACAATTCAACGCTTCAAATGATGTGATATACGCTGGTAAGTTTAAGTGAATATATATATATATATATATATATATATATATATCCAAATATCACTACATATATATATATCAATAAATTATTTAACGTTCATTTTATATACTATTTTAGGAATATTTGGTTTAGATGACGAGGAGTATGCTGAATTAGGAAGTAGTCGTTTAGCTATGCAAAATATGTTTCGTACGGTGGATGCTATAGACTATAGTCTAATTGCTTCAGTCGATGTTCGTCATCGAATTGAACAATTAGCTCTGGATACTGCAGGACAGTCGTTGGCACTAGTTGAGAAGATAGGAGAAAACAACAGTAGTGAACCTATTACTCAGTGTAGAATTTACATGATTGGTCGTAAACGCGTAAGTTCCTGATTATGATTAGCATTATCATTATTGCTGCTATATTACACACTTTTCATTTGAAATTTATTGACATTCAAGAAACTAAATGTTAAACTAAGAGACTGATGTCGATATGTGGAACATTTTGTTGCCAGCATTTAGTCTGAGCAATATATCACCATGTTAAGCAATACCTCTCCACGTATTTAAAGCTATCGCTTTCGAGATGTAAACCATTATCTTTTCGCTAGTTGCTAATATCAAAAATGGTATCCAGTTATCTTGCTTACTGTCTAAACCTGCCTACTTGAGTGTTTACGTTATCCTCTCTCCCATCTGTGGAGTCGAGTTCGATCTCAAAATCTACCGGTATAAAGTCAGTTGACTGAACTATTAAGCTACCTTTCTACCATTTAGAATTGCCTGTATATGCTCTTCAGGAAGGTAGTTTATCATTATGCTAGCTTTCAAAGAAATTACCCATCATTTAAAGTTTTTATTATTCCAAGTAGCACGGTATCTTATTGCACGATCATAAATTGTACGATCCACGAATTGTAGTGGATCAGACTTACTAAAAATTGAGTAATTATAGATTATTAAGTTTTTTCACAATACTGTCGCACTTTAGTCCACACGCTTCTACAGATTAGCAACATTCTATACCATTCAGTAATTATTAATTGGAATATTCGAATTGACAATTTTTCAGGGGGAACGTGAACCTGACAACGATGATGAAGAAGGTCGTGAAGATGAAGAGGATGATGAAGATGAGGAGGATGACGATGAAGATGATGATGATTTACTAAATGGAGATGCTTCGGATGAACTTGCTCAAATACTTGATGAATCCTCAGATGATACAAGTACTAGTGATTCAAGTGATTGGAGCCCATCTTCGAATGAGCAACAACGTGCTAGAAGACGACGTACACGTCGTCGACGCACAGAACCAAATGCGAACACTACAGAGTCTGCTACTGTTGACGAAGTTGCAAACAACTATGATATTTTAAATGCTGAAGACGCCAACATAGATTCTCACTCACAATCTAATGAAGCTATAGATCAAGTAAATGATGGTGATGATGATTCATCATGGGAAACACTTGACGAAGAAGATGTTACAGAAGGTATGGAAACATCATCTGAAGATTTATAAAAATGTAGTAATAATATTAGTGATAGTAACAACCAGTTTCGCGATTTTGTTTATTGATAAATACTATTATTCATATTGAATATGCTGTATATTATATGCATACTAACACTGAGGGTTTTCTTTGATGAATATTCTCTCTCTGTATAAAAGATCATTCTCTTCCCTTCTTCTCTCTCGTATGTTTACCATCACTTTCATTTTCTTTCACACTATATAAATACTATGTTCAGAAGTTTCTTGTTTTTTGATCGATTTATAAGATCTTTTTTAGATAGTGTGATGAATTCAACGTATGCGTTATTCAGTGAAATCAACCTGAGATTTAAGTCATGATAACTCAGAAAACTATTAAATTACGTGTATTTTTTTCAGTCGTAAGGTGATTGAAGAATGTCTGATATGCTTCAACAAAGAGAAATTTAATCATTCAGGTTAAACTGAAGCGTGAATAATGCCGAATAATTTCGAGATTTTAGATCACTGAGTTTTGTTTGATTTATTTGTGTATTACTTGAATACTACGATAACTAATTTTTATTCTTTTCTTTATATGTATGATATTAAATTACAGTCATATCCGGGACAGTAGTAATAACGTTAAAATGTATTACCGTTAAGTATATTAGTTCAAAAAGTACTCAAATATGATGAATCGTTTATCCGTTTTTGAAGATTTTACATTTGTATAGCATGTATGTGAGATTTCAGATGACCTTCAGTAATAAAATTTTTGTTTTGAATCGTATTTTACTCAAAGATCGACATTTCACATTAATTCGTTACGCCCATCATAAGGATTATATTGAAACATTAAGCAACTAAACTTCAATTTAATGCTAAGGAATATCGAATTTAGGAGCGAAAGTACCTTCGCAGATCATTAATAGTTTTCTATCTCACGAAATTAGTCTCCATTAAATAAATTTGTAATTCAAATCCATGAATAAATGTATAGTGATTTATCTTTTATAGGACCTTCTCCTCCAAAATGAAATATTTAACTGCTGATCCACACTGATAACGGTGCTCGTGAGCACTATTTACTAAAAATTCATGTAACACCGATTTTGACTTTCTATGAAACACTAAATCCAATTGTATGGGTATCAAATTTAAAAAGGCCTTTATTTAAACAGTAAGCTGAGTTATGTTACGGTATAAGTTGTAACGACATTTGGCAGTTTTCGATGCTGAGATTCATAGAACACTTCTACTCTCTGACACGAAAAAGCTACCTTAGCAAAACAGACGCGCATTTTACCTGGTGGAAATTTCACAAAGATCTTGTCGATAGGGGAGTTTAAATCGAATTGTTTGATCATGAACCTTTAATCAATCTCATTCATACCTGCACGTATGCAGGTTTCAAAGCTCAAAGTACATTTAATCATATTTTAAGGTACAATAATGTTTAAGCCTCTATAAAGTCAGTCAGTCAGTTGCAACGTAGAACTTCGTACGTATGTACATAAGTTCATGTTGCCATACCACATTATTAGCACAGAGACGCAAATGTCAAATCAAATCCCATAGTGATAAAGATGGTAGAGGTATTAATGTTATAATAAAGAAGACTAGGGTTTAAGATATTTTTCAAATAATATAATTCAGTGAGATAAGGTTAGAAAGACAAAGGTAGAGGTGCTGGCTAATCCAGAAGATTAGGATTTGAGAGAGCTCAAAGAGTGGATGCACCTGCGCCATTGCAAACGATTTTGAGCCATGTCGTTCAAGGTCTCTAACCATTGATGACTTTCGTCTCGCGGACCCCAACCAGGTAGTCTACATCTACCAACATGACTCAGTCCACTTGTCAGTGACTTCATGGATTTCTGCCATGTTTTGGTCTGGCCGCCCCTAGCTTTCTTCCAACCTACTCCTACACCACAAAACATAGCTCGTCGAGGCAGTCGGTGGTTAGGCATACGTAAAACATGTCCCAACCACCTCAACTGATGAAGTTTCACCACTTCATCGATTGATCTGCCATCCTTACCTAGTACTCGTTTCCTAACGACAGCATTGCTTACTCGGCTGTCCCACGATATACGAGCAATGCTTCTTAAACATCTATGATCGAATACTAGTAACCTACGAATATCTTCTACTCTTAACGGCCATGTTTCACAGCCATATAAGAGAACGGAACGAACTGCTGCGCAGTACACCCGCCCTTTGGTTAGCGAACGGATATCACGCCTACGCCATAAGTGACGCAGGTTGGCAAAAGCCAATCGAGCCTTCTGTATCCGAGCTGAGATTTCGTCAGTCACCAGACCGTCAGCACTGATGAGACTCCCCAGATAAGTGAAGTGATCTACACGCTCGACTACTTCACTCCCTATCACTAGTTCAGGTGCCGAAGCAACCCAGTCTTGAAGCAACATTTTGCATTTCGAGGGGGAAAACCGCATCCCGAACATGCTCGCATTGTTGCTTATGGTAGTCAGAAGACTCTGCATTTTGTCAGCGTCTTCACCGAATAGAACTATGTCATCGGCATATTCTAGATCAGTAAGCGACTTTCCTGGTAGGTCAACCCCTGAAAAATCTGACGAGCTTAATGTTAACTCTAAGAGGATGTCTACGACAAAGTTGAACAAGAATGGAGAGAGTGGAAAGCCTCTATAAAAATTTAGGTTAAACAATTTACGCAACAAGACGATCTCGGGTATGACTAAGATTATGTAGTTGAGTAATTCCTGTAATTGGTGACAATTTATACCGTCCTCCGGTCAACCAACCCACACACAAACGCTTTACGACCACTTGCTCAGGAATCCTATCATAGTCTGATCAATCTTTTGATTGGCTAATTAGTACTTCATTTATGCACCAGTTCTGACTATGCGAATATATATTTTAACCTTTTCAAGGGCCAATTTCACAAAACATTTACTTTATTCTAAATTCGAAGGCATTGACTTTAGGAATTTATCATTAATATATCATGTGCATGATATAAATTATATTTGAAATGCATTCATATTTATATACATATAATATATATATATAATCAATTTCTTTATTTTTTTGTGTATTCTCACGCTGTCATTTACTTTTTGCTTCTTGTTGTTGAATTTTTAATATCACCATGATTAGTGTTATTTTCATTAATGTTTGACTTCTATCGTTGCTTTTGTTGTTCTTGTTCTTGTTGTAGCTTCGTTTTCCTCTTTTCGTGTTTCTTCTTTTGCTTTGGATTAGTATTGGATATTTTATTCCTGTTATTATGTGATTTTAATTGCTGATGAACATTTTTATTTTGAGTTTTCTTCACTTTATACTCCATAATTCTTATTTGTCTTCCACGTACACTCAGGGTATTTGATGATCGTATAGCTAAAGGGATAACTGATGGATCGTTGAATGTTACATAACCGAATCCACGCACAGCACCAGTTTGAGAATCACGTATTAAACGAACATTTTTTATTGAACCTAATGTAGACAACGTACTATAGATCTATGAAATAAAAAATGTAGAAATCAAATGGAGATGATAGATTACATAAATTTATACGCGAAAATAAAAAGACCTGCGAAATCAGTTCCGATGTTAACTACCTCATGTTATCTGGTGGAGTTATGGTTATTTAATATAGATTTCATAGCGTTCTACTTACATATCTATTCAGTTCAAAATTTGAGATTTACTTCACTGAACAAATAATAAGGCTCAATTTAATCAATATTTTATGTTTAATTATAGCAAATAATTCACAGGACAATATAAGCAATACTTTAACTATATTCTTATCTTTGTGAGTATATATTATCCCTAGCTGAAGTTTATTTATATATCAGTAATATTGGCCGACCAACTCTACCACTGACAACTCAAAGGATGACTAAGGAAAGGAATATACCAACTACAGTGGTGCTTACGATGAATGTTTACAGTATTAAGGATTAAGAAAGATTGTAGACTTTATGAAATTATGTAAGTACATCTTGTCGTTATTATTATCATTATTCATGCAATGGACACTACTCGCAACGTAGCCTACAAGTAGTATGCAGCGGGATGTCGCTCAGAATCGTATAAGCACATAACAATACTCAATCACATATATTGAAACTTCATTGGATTTAACTTAGTTTACACAAGTATGTCTTAAATCGTAGTACAGAAATCAGCATTTCAATTTTAGAAATCTTAAGAAAATAAACAAACATCAAACAAATGTATTAAATAAATAAACAGAAACGTAAACCAACCTCTTCTTCAGTACAATCGAATGGTAGATTGCCAATGAATACAAAATTATCTGATTTACCACGTGTCTTATTATTATCAGTTGCTTTGTCGACTCGAATATGATATACACTATTCGTATCACTATTAGTAGCAGCAACAGTATTAGTGGTAGATTCAGTTTTATTATCAATTACATCAATTGATTCTTCAGGGTTCACAATAAAACCATCCGAATTCAAACAGCATCCATTTAAAGAAAGTACCATTGGTATACCGATCTTTGTTGTCAGTACAACATAACCCATACGAAATTTGGAAACACCTAGTTTTCATTAATATATATATGTGAGAGAAAAGAGTACTGATTATAAATATCACTAAGAACGTAATAAAAAAAATCCTTAAATGAAAAATAACGAGTATACATTTCTTTTGACTCATAACTCACTAAATAATTGTATTTGCCTTGGGAATAACGGATTTTGTAAAATTTAGGTGTTATCTAAGACACTGAATCCACCGACTTTTCCTCCATTGACGTTAAATATGAAACATTTAAGAATATTATTAAAGTAATCTTTTCTTTAAATTCTTTCAATTTATCACCAAAAAATACAATTAATTTTAAATTATCACTAGTGATTTTATTGAATAATCTGATCTTTTGGGATTGATCAATGGGTTAGTTTTTGTCGTTATAACCTTTTCAACTCGAGTGCTTTAAAATATTTATATCTCATTGGAAAACATTATGAAATAATATACTTGTCATATTTGTTTAGAAGACAAATATTTCATTCCTAATGTATGAATTGAACTCATTTATTGGGACAATTTTAGGTATACCTGATTATTGCATAACATTCATCAACGAAAAATCTTTGACTGTCATTGGTTGATGTATTATTTTAGTACGCTATTTTTGTGGCTCTCCCAAGGACGTTTCTATGTATCATACTTGTCAACTTCATATTTTCTGGGAGCTTGTAGAATACATTTACTACGCCTTATCAAGACTTCTTGATTAGAATAGCCTATCGTGTCACTGTATCATTTGTCTTCACTCCGTTTACCGAGTAAGGTGAACTCGTGTTATTTTCTAGCATATCAGAAGTGTTGTCTTACTGATTCTATCGCTTAACAATCATTATGTTAAGTGATTTACACATCAGAGCAACGAAGTTTCGAAATTCACACTTTGATTACCTACGATCTCCAGTCATCATGAATTGCTAATTGATGTAAGTCCTCGGAATCTTTATGTTTACGGGACATAGACTGGATTAAAGCATGTTCCATACAAGACTTCGTTGTTGCACGCTGATTGGTTCTTTCGTATCCAATAGTCGATACTAGGGGAACATTCTAGAATCTCCCCATGTAAGAAACTATAAATATACTAACGTTTTGGACTTCTCTGACTTCCATCTAACCTTGTTATTGGAATTTGATCTCTTTCCTATACAACCGTGTTCTGATTTGGGACAACGTCTCGAGTGAATTAGTGTCCGAGAATACTAAGCATGCGGAATAGCTGGGTCCTAATAAGAGTTAAAAAAGCTACAAGAAACCTAAAGCGAGGGCGAGGAGCAGAGCCTGACGGGCTTACCCCTGAGATTTGTAAGGATGGTGGTCCAGTTTTAGTAGTTAGATTGACTCAGATCCTAGGTAGAACCTGGGAACTGGGTGTGATCCTATCTGACTGGTCCCAGTCACTGATTGTCCCAATCTACGGAAAAGGACAACAGTCTTCTTGTGTTAATCGGGAACCAGTTTAACTAATAGTGTCTGAAATATTGGCTTCGATATTACTCCGACACCCAACTAGGGCTCGTGGAGAGCAGACTTTAAAAAACCAGACTAGTTTTCGACTGGATGTGACTGTATGGACCACATATTTACACTTCGTCAGGTCCTAGAACATAGACACTCGTTCAGACGTCCCACAATTGTCGTATTTCCCTACCTTAAGGTGGCATTTGACTCTGCCAATCATGAGGTTCGTTGGCGGTGTCTTTCATTGAAAGGTGTACCAAAAAGGTACTCTAACCATATACAAGCTTTCTACTCGAACACTATCTGTCGAGTCATAGTTTACAGCGAACTGTCTTCGAAATTCATTACTTCAAGTGGTGTCCGTCAGAGATTTCCGCTTTCTTCATTCTTTTTTTAACTTTGTTGTAGACTTGCTTTAGAGGTAAAATTATCTTCATCTGCCTTTTCAGTTGTGGACCTTCTACTAGGAGACTCGCTTGTTGACTTAAAGTATGATGATGAGGACGCTGACAAAATGCGGAATCTTCTGACTAGCCTAAGCAACAATGCAAGCGTATTCGACACGCGGTTTCCCCCCTCGAAATACAAAATGTTGCTTCAAGATTGGCTTGCAACGGCATCTGAACTAGTGATAGGGAGTGAGGCAGTTGAGCGTGTTGACCGCTTCACTTCTAATCTTCTGAATTCCTCATCACCTCTATCTTTCTCTTCCTAAAGTTATCTCACTGAATTATACTTCTTGAATAAACTTATGTACGTAAGTACGTACGTACGAAGTTCTGCGTTGTAACTAACTGACTGAATGCCTTCGCAACTGATTTACGACTACTAACACTTATCGACGATGTATATTTGTAACATTAATAAACTTAATACAAATTTTACAAGTTACACTAATTTCATTTAAATGTAGTCAAAAGTGTTACAAATAAAACACTCAGAAGTTGAATGAATATATGAAGAAATTACGTTTGTTGTTAATTTTATGGTGTGATGAAAACATGTCGATATTAAATAAGACATAGGAAAAAACAACACATTATCATATAAAAGAGCAAAAGGAATGAATTTTTACTGAGAGAAGGTCTTTCTGCTCGAGTTACCATCAGCTGAATAAATGGTGGGAACTAAGGTGTACTGCTGTATGTTAATGTGTGAGAAAAACTGAAAAGCTTCATCTAAATGAAAAACATCTAAACAGCGCTTTCATCATTTTTTCAACGGTTATTGGTAAGTTAAATTAAAAACTGAATTTAAAGCAATCAAATGATATTGCATTGATGAGTAACTGATTGTTGTAGTGAAAGCGAAATGTAATTGGTCACCGAGCATAGGCAAACAGTTACAGGTTATTTCCTAGTAAGTGGTGATTTTATTTCCCCCCATTGATTTTTAATCCGGACTAAGTGACTACTTGTAATTATGTGGGATAAAATACTGTCTATCGTTTACTTTGATTCTCTATTTCTGCGGGAATTTAGTACCTGGTTTGACGCGCTCTAGTCTCTGTGTACTGTGGCGTTCGAGCATCTAATCCAGTGGTAATATAAACTGGATCACCCATTTAGACAGTGTAAAACACAGTGGATAAAGAATATGTCAAGAACCCCTGTTATATCACATAATTAAGACAAGAAACGAATTTATCTCATTTGTGTTGACACTGTAAATATTCAAGCTAGTTTAGCCTGACTAACAAAGTTATGCAGTATATATATATGTATATATATATATATATACTACCCACCTTTTGAAAACCGATGCCAATATCAGAAGAGGTGGATGAGATTGTAGAAGTTGGTAGACTACCTCTCAATATTTTGTCAGGTTTATCATATAGGTTGGATTTTAATGAACAAATATAATAGACATGTATGTTAAGAATACATACCTGAAAATTCGCCTGTGATAGCTGCACGTTTTCGTGCTAACCTACTAGTACCACCAGTAACTGGAATAGCACCACGAAATCTGACAGATTCAACAGAGCAATCAGAAGATGAGATTTTATTATCCCTTAGCACATTATTAAATAATGCTTCTATTCTTTTTTTGGTAATATTCAGTGGTAAATTGCCAACGAATATGGTTCTTGATAAACGTTCATTAGACAGTCGTCTGTGTTGACGTTGAAGACTTTAAAAAGAAAAAGAATAAAATACATAAGATCGATGACAAACATAGTGTCTCCTTTCATAGTGTTTCATTTAATCCTAATTACAAGTGACATAAATACATTTCAAACTGTAGGAAATAAAATCTCGTGTCCTTAGTCATGTTTTAAAAAAATGTATGCTACATTTCCTGAGTTTTGTTTATTTGACCACTAAAACTTCAGTGCTATGCAGTAACTATTTAAGCTGTTCACCAGCTGAGAGTTTTACTCGGTACATAACACACGATTTGAGGTAAATATGTCTTTTAATGAACCCCTACACATAACACAAATCTAGCTGAAGTTTATACGGATATTATTAGTAAAATATTTCACAAGTAACTAACCTCCTACTCTGTGAGTTATCTACTTCAGTAGAACTTTCATCGCTCGTAAGATATTCCTTGTCACTAGAAATTTGGTATTCATGATACCATTTTCCTTTTTCAATCTTGGGTAGAGTATTTTGTTTGCACTTTTTGGGTTTGGACGAATTATATGATACTGTTATACTATCTTGTAGCTTGCTTACATCAGTCGTGTTAGATACTGTCTGGTCAAAAGAAATATTTTGGCTTTGAGTGTTTAACGAAGGACCGTTTTCTCGCTTTCTTTTTTTTCTTTTAGATTTATCCACAGCCCCATTCTCCTTGGGTTTGATTTTCTTGGGTTTTTTAGGTGTTTTCTGGTCCCCTGAGGCGCCTTTAGAATGAACATTTAACACAGAACACTGCTGTTGGCTCTGCTTTCTGTGTTTCAGTGCGGTTTCTTTGATATTTGTATCAACTGCATGACAAACAATCTTATCATTTAAACCGCATTCGTTCTGAGCAGGGGACTTAGAATTATGCTTTCTTTTTTTCGACGGTAACTCTGACACACTTTCCCTCCCCGTTTCAGATTTAGATTCAATGCCCTCAAGAAGAGCATTATCACTCTGAATATTAGAAGTTAAGCTATGTTTTCGCTTGAGCTGTTTATCATTTTTCGACTCCTTTACAACAACTGCTTCGTCTTTGTGTTTATTTTTATTAGATGACAGAGGCGTGCTTTTGTCATTGTAATTGATAGTTCTGAGCTCATTATTTTGCTCATTTGTACCTTTTTTCGATATTTTAGGTGCTTTCCCCGTTTCCACTGTGTAGTTATTAAGACCATTTTCAAAAGTTACGTATTCATTCCGTTTAGCCTCCTTTTTGCCCATCTTTAGAGTTGTTTACAGGGTCGTAAAAGCTTCAGCTATCTGAAACTATATGTACAGAATGAATTATTTCATTTTATTCGAAGCTGTTAAACAACAAATTATTGAGCGAATAAGTTATTAGTATCGAATACTATTGAAATATGAACAAAAAGCCTTCTGCATTGCTTTAAGTAAAAGTTTGTTAATTAATATAGGTTATCTTAATCTAATCAAGATCAAGAGACCTTGAACGACATGGCTCAAAATTGTTTGCAATGGCACAGATGCATTCATTCTTTGTGTTCTCTGAAATTCCAATCTTAAGAATTCCTCATCACTTCTATCTTTCTCTTTCCAAAGTTAACTCACTGAAGTAAGCTTCTTGAATAGTATTTTCCAGCCATAATCTTCTCCATCACCGCTAATACTCTTACTATTTCGAACACTATGGGATTTGGACTGACAGTTGAGTCTCTGTGCTAATGCGGTATGGCAACCTGAACTGATATACGTACGTACGTAGTTCTACGTTTTAACTGACTGACTGATCTTAATCTAATGGATGCCATAAATCCAAATTAAAATAAAACAGTGTGATGCTCATGTAGCATTTACTCATCTTTATAATCTTAATTGTTCGGTGTGACCGTCTAATGTTACTAGATTCTTGGATTGGTATATTCTACTCGGTTATTAACTACTTCTAACATAGGGAATAGAAATTCTAACCGACAATTACATTGGACCAATTTATATGAACGCATATTAGGGTAAAAAGCCATTTTTAAGTCCATGCTACTTAGGAAGAGCAACCAAAGTTTACTTTATACAGCAAGTTGTGAATGGAAACCTACGTTAAGTTAGTATCAGGGAACTAAGAATACTTAAATCTGTGGCTAATATCCGTATTCTGTCATTGAAAGGTGTACCAAAGAAGTACATTAACCTCATACAAGCTCTCTACTCGAACACCACTGGTCGAGTGAGAGCTTATGGCGAACTGTCATCTGAATTCTCTACATCAAGTGGTATCCGTCAGAGATGTCCACTCTCTCCATTCTTGTTTAACATTGTCATAGACATGCAGCTAGATATAACATTGTCTTCGTCCGACTTTTAATTAGTCGATTTTCTACCAGGAAAATCACTTACTGACCTAGAATATGCCGATGACATAGTTCTATTCGGTGAAGACGCTGACAAAAATCCAGAGTCTTCTGACTACCATAAGCAACAATGCAAGCATGTTCGGGATGCGGTTCTCACCCTCGAAATGCAAAATGTTGTTTCAAGATTGGGTTTCATCGGCACCTGAACTAGTGATAGGGAGTGGAGTTGTCGAACGTGTAGACCGCTTCACGTATCTGGGGACTCATCAGTCCTGGTGACTGACGAAATCTCAACTCGGATACAGAAGGCTCGACTGGCATTTGCCAACCTGCGTCACTTATGGCGTAGGCGAGATATCCGTTTGCTGACTAAAGGACGAGTGTACTGCGCAGTGGTTCGCTCCGTCTTACTTTATGGCTGTGAAACATGGCCAATGAGAGTAGAAGATACTCGTCGGTTATTGGTTTTCGATCATAGGTGTCTTCGAAGCATTGCTCGTATATCGTGGGACACCCGAGTGAGCAACGCTGTTATTAGGAAACGGGTACTAGGTAAGAATGGCAGATCAATAGATGAAGTGGTGAAACTTCATCAGTTGAGGTGGTTGGAACATGTATTGCGTATGCCCAACCACCGACTGCCTCGTCGAGCTTTGTTTTGTAGTGTAGGAATAGGTTGGAAGAAAGTTAAGGGCTGCCAGACCAAAACATGGCATAAATCCATGAAGTCATTGACGAGTGGACTTAGCCATGTTGGTAACTGTCGACTACCTGGTTGGGGTCCGCGAGATGATAATAATCGATGGTTGGAGACCCTGAATGACATGGCAAAAAATCGTTCGCGATGGCGCCGCTGCATTTATACTTTGTTCTCTCAAGTCCTAATCTTCTGGATTCTCCAACACCTCTAGTTTTGACTTTCTAAACCTTTCTCATTGAATCATACTTCTTGAATAATATCATCTAATCCTAACCTCTCCGATTACTTCAAATACTTTTACAACCTCTTCTACTATTGGATTCGAATTGACAATTACATCTCTGTGCTGATGTGGTATGGCAACATGAACTGATGTACTTACGTGTGAAGTTCTACGTTGCATCTGACTGACCTCATAATCTCTGTCCTTCTCCTTCTAAATTTATCTCACCGAATTATACTTCTCGAATGATTTCTTCGCTCCCTAATCTTCTCCATTACTTCTAATACTTCTACTATCGCTATCACTATTGGATTTGAACTGACAGTTGCGTGTCTGTGCTGATGGGGCATGGCAACCTGAACTGATGTACTTACGTACGAAGTTCTGCGTTGTATCTGTCTGTCTGTCTGATACAAAGTAATTACTTAAGTTTTGTTTGTTCTAGGAAACCATTTTAGAAACGAAGTAACAATATTTTAAATCGAAATATAGGAATCAAATAAATAGGAAGGCAAATCACTCCTGTGTTACCACGTTAAAGTACGAAATCAAAGAATGAACACTAAATAGTGATTCTTGAAATTATTCTCTTTTTAAAAGTAGAATAACTACAGCGATTAAAGAGGCGATGAAACTAGTTTGTTGCACAACGATCTGCTCTTAATTTTAAAGAACCTAGAACTGCTTGGTTAGAGAGTTATGGAGAAGTTAAGAAGTAATTTACAAATAAAGTTACTAGTGTTATACACAATGGGCAATTAGTTTCAATGGTTAAACCTTATATAGACATATTAACTACCTTAAAACTATAAGCTTTGATAATACCTACAACAGACGTTTCGGAAAGTAGTAGGAATTTAGGAAAAGTAATATAATTTTTTACTAAACAACCAAAAAATCTTGAGGAAATAAGAGGAAACTGATGGCTTCAACTGACTTATTGTGTGTAATCCAGATAGAAATTGCAGATGGGATTAAGGCTCTACGCAGTACCCTATAATAATAATTTATACTGGGTAAAGTACTATATTCTCCGGAGACTTTAGAGTAAGGACTGGGGAAATGTTGGGAATTCATGGTTAGGTTTAGGATTTGGAATGAAGATTAGGATTGTCATAAAATGCCAGTGGTCATAAAAAAAAGCACCAGAAAAATATTTATCTCTCAATTGTGATAGTTTTCGGGACTGAAAACACTATGTTATAGAATACCAAACACCAAGGTAATTAGATCACAAAGCGTCAAATTAGTGACAAACACTGTTACGATATTGAGGCTAAAAATACTATCGTGACCGTATGCACCATCACTGCAAAAGACTGAGACGCACTGGAATCATACAAATGCTTTTTCGCTAAACCGTACGATCAACACAGACATCCTACAATATGAAAATATATTTATATATAAATTCATCTAAAGTTATATATGGTAATGAAACTGATGTAGCGTAATTGAAATGGCACTTTGAAAACAACTCGTAAAAACGACTAACTAACTTCTCACCCAATCTTCATAAATCACTAGCGCCAGTGACCAATGGGTGAGTGACTACACTCTTGAATGTGTTGACTAGGTCATCAGCCAGCTTTTTACCTCATTCAATGTCCAATATCTAACATCTTTTGCGCGACCTAGTATGTGTAACTTCAGCCTTTGGTTCGTTTTTGTTTAGCCAGGAGATACCCTGTGTGATAGAGGTGTGTGAAGAGCAGCTTGTGAAGTTGTCTGGAAGAAGAAAGAACAAAAAAGGGGAGCCGATGACTCAGTAAACGCGCAGAATGAACTTACATTCAATAAAGAAATCAACAGACAGTAATCAAAAATAAAGCCACCTTGAGATTGAGACAAACTGATAATCCTTGTTTGTCTATCAAGTCACTTCCTAAAGCTATCCACTGAGGGGAATTTGTTCACCTGGAATAGGAGAACATTAAAATTTGTAACGACCCTTAATCAGAAATGTGTGCATGAACTTGGGTATTCGCTCTTTGATGCGCAGTTTTTTGATGATTTCCTCGAGAGGTGTCATGGTGACGATTAGATAAGATGATCACGTCATGATGGTTTGTCGTGCCTGATATGTTGTACGCCCTTGTTAAAATGGCAAACGTTGCTAAACGAGATCAGAGGACTTTCTTGCATATATTGTAACTGTTTTCTTTTACACTACTGCGCTGGTCAGTTTCAGTACACTGTATTCGTGATTGTAGATGTTGTTATTTCTTACTTCATTGTTGATCTATAGGATAGTTTTAGAATGGACTTTAGATAAATATATGAATCACTCTTATAACCTGTTCTAGAGATATTCTAAAATTAGTTCTTATCACAACCCAGGATGAAGAAGAAAGGTTGTTGACGTTTTGGAGCCAGTGGAATGTTGCCGTGTCCTAGACATATAATCCTCCAGGCCGGTCGGTCGATGCCAAGCAGGTTACAGATCCTCGTTAAAGTCAAAGTAAACTAACGTGCATTAATCAGTTTTCCTGAATGGACACGTAGCAAACAGAAAATCAGTCGCCGCTAACAGAAGAAGATGCGTTTACCTTAAGATGGGTCTACACATACCGATTCACCATATTTTCATTGTGGCAGAAGTATCAATGCCAATCATATGCACTGACCTACTGCAACACTATAACCTACTAATCGACCTAAGCAAACGAGGATTCTCTAGTTATTTATGCCTAGTTATGGTAAAACACAAAATCGTCCTGTTCTTTCAATCAATACTCTTTAGATAGTAATAATATATTTATTCTCAGATAACAGTGTGTTACAAGAGGCATGCCAGTTACAGGCAGGATCGAACAAAAGTCTGTTTTACACCATGTCACTGACAGAAACAGTTTGATATAGCCACATTTTCAATAAGTGAGTACAAATAGGGTATGTATACAGTAGAGTTCTAGGATGGTTTGCACAATTCAGGAGTTAATTTGTTGGGAAGTGTCAGTTGGAAAGCGCTTAATACAGGCCGTGACCT